ACTCTGCAAAAAACGCATCTTCGCACGGGCAGCCCGTGCTTTGGCCATTTATTATTATTCTAGTCAAAATAGGCCTCATGTAACACAGGTCCTTTTCACTTGAATCTGCTGTATAAATTTGCTCACTCCACAGTACTCGCTACTAAAGTGTCTACAGCCTGCTACCTATGCTGGCTTCTTTCCTTGTCAATTTAGACTAAAATAATTGGTCAACGCACTGACTGCCGGTGAGAAGATGCGTTTTTTGCGCAGTTCCCGCAGTTTTTTTCGCTAACGGCACCGTTTTTTCGGTAAACGTTTTTAGCTAAAAGAATTGAGGCTGACCGCCAGAACTGTCAGGAAGCATCATAAAATTTCAACTTTCCAGTTTTCCTGGTTCCCGAGTTAGTTAAATTACCTGCAAAAAACTTTCACAAGGTTCGTACATGGAAAAAACTCATACCCTGGGGCTAGGTTTGAACTCATTAGGAGGGCCTACGTGGACAGGGGACATCCCCTTAAAATTCCAGTCTTCTAGCTTCTCAGGCTCCCGAATTAGAAACCTACCCGAAAAAAACTTTAGCGGGCCCGTACGTGGAAATCAAGATTCGGGAGTTCGGTTTAAACTTATTAATACCTACCTAGACGGGGAACACCTCCTTAAAATTCCAATCTTCTAGTTCCTCAGGTTCTCGAATTAGAAATTTACCCAAAAAAACTCTGGCGGGCCCGTGCGTGGGTACCACGTAAAAATTGAGGGCCGGGTGTGAACTCACTAATACCTACTTGGACGGGGAATGCACCCTTAAGATTCCAGTCTTCTAGCCTTTCGGGTTTTCGAGTTAACAACTTACCCGAAACAAGTTTGGCAGACCGTACGTGGGTACCACGCGGGTAAGAGCGCCTATTTCGAAGGTGGGTGCCCGCACACGCATGTAGATTAAGTTCCCAAAGTTTCAGTCCTGTAGCTTTTGTGGGTCTCGAGATGAAAAACCGTGACAGACGCACAACGCACGCACGCACACACACACACGAACAAACACACATAGACACACACAGACAACCTCTAGTCAATATGCGTTTTCTGCATTGTAGAGATGCAAAAAAGCATAAAAATAACTAAGCGAGACAGACCAAATATAAAACCCTTCGAATTTTTTCTACTCTCCAATCTTGCAGCAGTAAATCCGCTCCGCCTTTGGCAAGCTTTTCAGGTTTTTTAGCTTTTGAGGTTCTGAGCTAGCAACTTACCCGAGGCTGGTTTGAAGTCATTAAGACTTACACGGCAGTAGAGGCTGGTCCCCTTCTTCCCCTTCACTCTTCCACAGTTTTCTCATTAGCCGGAGAAAGGTCGAGAATAGCCAGATTATCTGTGGGAGAAACAAAGCAGGAAATAAGAGAAAGAAAACCAGTAATGATGCCAATATACAAAATACTGCTAAGTAGCAAACTGCCATATAAAAATGAAATTTGACAGAGAGGGCACAAAACTGAATGGGAAATGTAATGCAGTTAATTCAGCAGTACTAAACTGCTTTAGAAAAAGTGATAAATGCGAAATTTCCATTCGAACTCACACTATTTGAAGCAGTCAAAAATTCAATAGCTTCCCAGAAAATTTCAAATTCAGCACAAACTCGAGGGCAACACCACGCAACAATAAAATCGTCTTTTCTCGCCAAGAAATCGGTTACACCCACAACAGTTCCAAGGATTGGAGAATTGCCATAAAATTCATTGCCGTTTGCATACTCCACTTTGACTTCTGATAGCACCTGAAAAATTAATGAAA